GGGATTGGCATGGTAATGTACATGACACTGTTAATGTATTTTGGTCTTGGCGGAATGGATCTGCTACGCTGCTGCTGCGGCAGAGCAAGTACCGAGACTTGTTACTGATAATACATCCACAACATGCTGCTGTGAGCATGTAAGAAATATTGCTGCTGCATATATAACATGCATGAAATAACCCCATAGCATACATGAATCACCTCGTAGCAGATCTATACAGGTGGAGCTGGGGAAGGTGGAGGGTTTCTGAAGCAAGCTGCAACTGCTACGACAAGCTCTAGTCATATATTTGAATGTTGAGCAGCGAACCTATTGGCTACCGATACAGGAGAGAACCAATCAGCTGTGCCATGTGATAATGATGTCATTAGGTCAGATTGAGTTAGACCTATCGGACTGCGCCATCTAGAGTTTCATGCCAGAACTCTGTATTTAAATCCATATTACCATAGAGATTAGAATATTGGGAACTTTAATTTGGACAGCCCCTTCAGTCATGCAAAATGTCTAATAAGCAATTAAACATTAATAAATGGTAAGGGCATCACTAAAATAGGAAATTTTTTTGAGTTTCTATCGAACGTGAGCAATTTGGAGATATGTGGCGGTGTTATGCAAATTAGAGTGTGGTGCTGCTGTGTATGTTTCTAATCTTTTTTTGCTTTTATTTATACTGTATTTATGTTCTACTGTTAGTGTTATCTGTATGCACCAAGGGTCTGAGAGTAACGCAATTTCAATTCTCTGTGTGTATGTGCTGTACATGTGGAAGAATTGACAATAAAGCAGACTTGACTTGACTGTTGTTTTGTATTTATTATCGTTTTTCTGTAATTTGTCATGTATGAATTATGCAGAAATATCTTTATCTTTATGAAAAGATAAAGTGGGTATTTTTTTCTCACCGTTGTTGTGAATTGTGTCCTGTTTAATGGGGTCTGTGTGTTGTGGATCACTTTTGCGGTTGCATTTCATGTGGGGAAAATGTACATAATATATCATTACAGATGAAATGAGGGGGGCCCTCCGAAGCGGTTGGGGCCCCAGATCCTGTATTGCCTGTTGGACGGTGTCGGCACTGCATGTAAACAGCATATCTGAGAGAGAGAGAAAACACATGGAAACATAAACACACCCAACTGGATGGGGGAACACACCTCAATATATATGAACATAACACATCCCCAGGATATAAGACCTCAAACTGTGAAAATACACCAGTCAGCAAATTCAATTGATTACAGCTGGACTCTTATGCAGGCAGTTATTTTTGGCATTTTTAAAAAAGAAAGCATGGTTGCTTACCTTAAACAAACAAAAAATATTGGGAACTTTGGCATGTAACACTTGCACATCTCAAACAATTCTAAAAATGAGAGATACATTCATATAAATGAACAATTCTCTGTTTCTTATATTGAGGTGTGATTCAGACACTACATGGGATGTAAATAAGCTGATGCTTGTGGGACACAGAATCTGATTTGTTTGAATCTATTGTGTTTGTAAGATGCTGTCAGTCTTTGATGGATCATATAATATGAAGCTCTTCTTCATCTTCCTCATCTCTCTCTTGTACCGTCTTCTCTCTTCACCGTCACCCATCCTCTTCATGTGGATCTACAGCTCCAGATGCCCTGGAAAATAACTAACATGAATTCAAATGTAATGTTTATTTAAGGAAACCCGCAGAGCTTTCTGTGGCGTTCAGCGGCTGTCACTGCACAGGCACCACTATTGATTTCCTTAAAAATCTGCAAAATACTAAATTTTTGGTATTGAAAATATTACAATATAAGTATAAATGTAATATATTTTTAATTGCTTTTCCGTCTATTGATTCTTGAAAGATCATCATTGTTATACATTTTATTCCTATTAAAAGGAATTTTAGACTAAAATGAACTTTGAACTCTGCTATGAACTAGCTATTTTTAACCTGTTACTATCTGAATTTTGATATATGGTTGGCGTTAAAGCTTTCTGCAGCTAAACATTACAGCTGTGACTTCTAGACAGAATCTCACATTCCTTCATGATTTCTTTCAGGACATCATTGGACAGCATGCATTGAACTATGTATTTCACCAAGAACTGAACTCTGAATTTCATGATATACCTATTTTGTGATTTTGAACCAGACTTTTATTTTGGTGTGGTGATGTGACATCATAAGGCCGCGCCGCTCCAGCATCTGTTTTGATTCGGCTGAAGAAAGGTTTGTGCTTTTAAGCATTTAAAGTGTTTACGTCGATACACCATGTTCAAGCAGTTTTGTAGTTTTCACAAGAGGTGTAAAGTGGCATGATTTTAATGAATTTAGTATGTAACATTTATGAATGTTAGTTTCAGTAAATAAGGTTTTTTGTTTTTTTTCAGGCCATTTAAGTCCATTCACTGACTCCACGTGACTCACTGTTATAAAGATGGAGGTTATTAAAGAGGAGAGTGAAGACCTGAAGATTGAAGAAGCTTTCAGAGTCAAACATGAAGATACTGAGGAACAAACAGGTTGGTTTTCATTCTCAAAGCTGAACTCACTCATTTGATCCTTATTAAAATGTTCAGCTCTACAGGACTATATGGTGTTTTTGAAGAATGTCATAAGATTGTCCTAATTAAAGTGGTAAATACTAAGCTGCCTTCTAGTGAACCCGAGAAGATCCTACTTTCAAGTTGGGTATTTGTTATTATTGGGAAAACCACTATGCAATTCCTAAAAAAAAATATTTTGTGCAACATTAAACCTGGTATCTATTTCTGAATCGAAAACCATTCATTTCTGTCAGATAATTATGCAACAGTTTAGCAGTGGCTCGTCTGGGCAGCGCTGCACCAAACTATTAATCCACTTGAAAGCAAAGACATATTGAATTAACCTTGGTTTTAAATCATCAATGTGTTCAGCATTATTTAACACATTTTTCCAAGTTTCTAGACTATTTCAAGTTAAAACAAATTTGTTATATTAATATTTAGTGCATGGCTTCTGCACACTGGTTGACTATTGTTAGAATCAGCTGTATTTGGCTGAGCAGTCATTGGGTGGCTCTCCAATGTATTAGATCAGTGGTTCCCAACCCTGGTCCTGGAGGCACCCCAACACTGCACGTTTTGCATGTCTCCTTAATCAAACACACCTGATTTAGGTCATCAGCTCATTAGTAGAGACTCCAAGACCTGAAACTGGTGTGTCAGAGAAAGGAGACATGCAAAATGTGCAGCGTTGGGGTGCCTCCAGGACCAGGGTTGGGAACCACTGTATTAGATTGTCATGTTGACTGGGTTCCATGTATGGGTTTCATGAACAATATTACCAAAGATGCCATAAATAATTTAAATTCAGAGATTTCACACATAAGATTGTGTATGTTTGGCTGAAAAGTCTAGACCTAAACTGAGAGCCTGAGTCTCAGACAATGAAAGCGATAGAAAAGAATGACTTCTAAACTTTTTAGTTTCTGCCATTCAAAGCTTTGTGTGTAATTGGCAGATTTTTTAAATGGACTCTGCTTGAGAAGAGATAAGAAGCTATGCCAGGATGTGGGGAAATTAAAGTGTATTACTTTCATAAAAGTGAAATAATGTCCCTCGGTGGCAGCACATACAAGGTGAAAATCAGAGGACCCAATACTGAGCCCTGTGGCACTCCATACTTTGATGAAATGTCTATTTAGTTTCTGTACTATGATGGGGCTTAAATCCTCACTGAAATTGAATGGGGCCTAAATCCTGAAAGATACTGTTACTGTATGCAAAAATGAACACAGTTGACAGGACACTTTTTCTCAAATTTTTAAATATCAGATTTGAGATTGGGCTATAATTAAATCGTCTGGTTTGGGGTTTGATAATTGCCAGTTTGAAAGTTTTTTTTGGAACATGTTCTGAAGAAAGTGAAGAGTTAACAATAATGAGAAGAGGTTTTGTGATTACATTTAACACCTCTTTTAGTAGCTTAGTGCATATAAGATCTAGTTGTGGGTTTTGATGTTTGTTGCTTTGAGCCATTAACCGGCATTTGTCATTTTTTTCCGCTTTAGACTTGATGTCACTGAAAAAGGAGAGTCGAGAACTCAATGAAAAGGAAGATGAAGATCAGTATGAAAAGCATCATGATTTCAAAATTGGAGAAAAATCATTTTGTTGCTCACAGACTGAAAAGACACAAAAAAGAGCTTATAAGACAGCAAATAGAAGTTATCTCACCTGCCAACAATGTGGAAAGAGTTTCAAAAGATTTGGAAACCTTAAGTCCCACATAAGAATTCACACTGGAGAAAAACCTTACACATGCTCTCAATGTGGAATAAGTTTTACTCTTAAAGAAACTCTTCGAATGCACATGAGAGTTCACACTGGAGAGAAGCCTTACACATGTGGTGGCAACGACTTCAAAGATCGAACCAGCAAACTTCTGCTTCCTACCAGTTCAGGGGTTTAGCACACTACACCACAAAAGTAATGAAGCTACAACATAAATTAGCATGTAATTGTAAACATATAAAATTAAATTAGGAAATGCTGACAATATGAACTTTAAAATGTCGTAATTGGTTGAAATGTTTTATGGGTAGTCATGCTCATGGAGAGCAGGCACACGAATGTTCCTCAGCACCCTGGCATCATGCACAGACCCAGGATATCCCACAAAGATGTCAATACATTTTCCCTGGTGGTCAGTGATGGCCTGGAGTTGGATGGAGTGAAACAACTTCCTGTTGAAGTAACAGTGGGAGTTAATTGCTGGTGGTTTCATTCGGATATGACAGCCGTCTCTTGCACCAACTGCCCTGCTGAAAGCTGGTGACCCAGCCAGCTGTGCAAATCCTGCTCCCACTGCCTCCAGGTCATCACCGGTCAGAAAGCAAATCACCCTCCTCAAAATTCCAAGGACTGCTTTGCTCACTCTGAACACAATATCATGCACAGAGGTCTTGGGGATATCGAAGGTCTGTGACACTACCCTGTAGGATGCTGCATGGGCAAGCCAGTAGAGGAACACAAGCACCTCGATGTCCCTTTCCCACCCATGGTCAGATTCCAGTCTGACTGCACCAATGAGGGACCTGATGGACGGCAAAGACAGGTGAAGGTGGTCAGCTGCTTCATCCAAATAAAGCCGCAGAATTGGCACGGCTCTGTTGAGATGGCAGCAGGATGTTGGGTTCACCGCCTGTAAATATTTGATCATTTTTGCTCATGTTTCTTATTGTTGTCAGAAAATAAAATATAATTTCATTAATTCATACATTTTCAGTCCAAGCAATGAATTAATGTATGTATTCACATTGGTTGATTTTGTCTAGTGTTCATGCATAGTTATGTCATATAATGTAACAATACAATTAAGTTACATTTTTGCTTGTTTTACTAAAATATATTGCATAGTTAATTATATAATTTTTAGTAAGAAAATAATGATAAATGCTGACCAATATTACGTAACTGTTGGGGTGAGCTAGCAATGCAATTAGCTCTGGGTTCATTTTAATTTTTAAGAATTGATACTTACATTTTTCGAGTGTAAAATCAAAGTTGAGATCTTCGAGCAGCTGCCCGACATCTCCTTTATGAAGACATTATTGCAATCAATTTGTTAGTTTTCAAGAAAAGCATACAAGGTGGTATGATTGTCATGCTACTGATGAAATCAGGTGTTAATGCACCTCTGTCATACCTTTAAAGTTGTTGCGCTTGGTATAACGTCGCAGGTCACATGGTAATATCAACACAGATTCGTCACCCATGTAAGTGAGTAAGCTGTACAATAGGTGGCGGTAATACTCCTAAGGAGTGAAGGGCCATTAAAGAAGAAGAAGATAACGTCAACATGGCTGCTCGCATTCATACTTAACGAGATTTGGCTGTAGAGCACTTTAAGAACTGGACTCCCTTGATGAAAGTGCTTTTGCTTTTTCCCCCCCCCCCAAGCTTTGCTGTAATGCTGCTATTTATTTTGTTTTGTTTTTATGTTCAGGTTAAGTTACTCAACTTTTAAGTGGAAGATGTTGTTCATGTTTAGTACACTGATCCGGTTTTACCATAATGCTGCACTAAACTAAGCCAAATTGTTAAACAAAATAAATGTTTTCTCTTATTTTGTTATTAATATTTTGTAAAATGTAAAATAAAAAAACTTGAAGGAACAGCTTGGTGTCACGGTTGTACTACAACGAGAAGCGAGGAACGAGGAGTTGCAGGAGAATTCACAGGAACACAGTCTTTAATAATCCAAATCATGGTTGTCAAACTCAATTCCTGGAGGGCCGGAGCCCTGCAGAGTTTAGATTCAACCCTAATTAAACACACCTGATCCAATTTATCAAGTCCTTCAGGCTTATTTGAAAACTACATGGTTTGTGTGTTGGAGCAGGGCTAGAACAGAACTCTGCAGGGCTCCGGCCCTCCAGAAATTGAGTTTGACACACCTGATCCAAAGGAACCAGGAACAAACACGTAGCAACAGGGAGTTGACATTTAAGACTCGACAAAGAAACAGAGCAGAACACTTTAAATACACAACACAAACGAGGAAATGACAGGTGAGGGGATCAACTAATAATGAGACACACCTGGGAGCAATGAACACACAAGGGAAACCTAGGTCACGCCGCACATGGGGAGGAAAACAACACACAGACAGGTCCAAACTCCTGGCGTATTGCCCCTCTCCCGGAAGGCGCATCCTCGCGCCATAGAAACAACATGGGGAGGGGCGGGTGGGATCTTGGGAGGAGGCTCAGGGGGAGGACGCACACCCGGGAGGGGGCCGGCAGACAGAGTCCAAAGAGGTGATGCAGAAGGGAGGAACCAGGGAGGAGACAGAAAGGGCTTGAAGCAGGAGGAGCCAAGCCGGATCCAGGCCACAGCCATGATGGCGAACCATGGAGGAGCCGATGGAGGGAGGAGCCATGGAGGAGGAATTGTTGCCGACTCCAGGGGGCCACCTGATGGCGGCGGAGCAGGTGGCCGAGGAGCCTGAGCCAACGAGCCAGGGGGATGCCGAGGATCCAGTGGGCCAGGGTGGAGCCGAGTGCTCTGGTGACCGAGATCCATGGCGGAGCCGGAGCGACTGAGGACCAAGGTGGAGCTGGCGGGAGGGAGGAGCCCAATGGAGCCGGTGGGACAGAGCGACGGGGTACAGCCGGTGCAGCTGGGGGATCGACGGGCGACGGTGGAGGTGAGGGAGCTAGGAGCCGAGGTGGAGCCGCTGGGTCTACGGGCCGAGGTGGAGTCCGGGCCGAAGAGGCTGGAAGCAGAGGTGAGGGATGCTCCAGCCCTGGTGACGATGGAGACTGGTAGACCCCCAGATCTCGCACCGTGTAGAGATGGTGGGCTGAGTGCGAGCAGAGGGGCTGCCAGATGACAGCGGTGGAGGAGGCAGGAGTGAGTGGGTGGGGGGGCAGATATTTGTAAGCCTCTGAGCTTAACTCGGGAACAGGAGCCCTCTCTGGGCTGGACGTGGGAATAGGAGCCCTCTCTGGTCTAAACTCAGGAACGGGAGCCTTTTCAGCCAGCCACATTCCCAGATCCACGATAAGCTCACCCTCAGCCACGGTGCATGTGTGCTGAGGGCTCTCCGCACTCTCACCGTCCTCAGCTTTTTCCCTCGGGGCAGGCACTGTCACTGGCTCTCGCACCTGGTCAGACGGATTGGGCTCTGCTTCCGGGGCTGGCTCGTCGATTGTGGTGGGCTCAGGCTTGGGCTCCGCACATCGAGGAGATGGTGGGCTGGGTAGAGAGTGGTACTCCTCGGAACAAACATTAATGGGGGTCCGTTTCTCGCCAGTATCCACTCTACAAAGGCTTTGGAATCCACTCGAAGACCATCTTCAGATGACGGCACTCTGCGTGTTCTATCACTCCAGCTTGAACACCGCATACAGAGCGCATCGTCCGGCTAGCTGGTGAGTTTGGCGAGGGCCAGAAACAGTCTGGTATGGTCCTCGAGCAAACGCAGGAGGAGGTACTCAGGGCGGGCGAGGGGATCCATGGGAAGACAACGGGAGGGAAAAAAAACATTGAACACACAACGGAAACAAAACGGAGGGGAAACACGCAATTAAAGTTTTTGGTAGTCGTAGGAGAATTTACAGGAACACAGCCTTTAATAATCCAAAGGAACCAGGAACAAACACGTAGCAACGGGGAGTTGACGTTTAAGACTCGACAAAGAAACATAGGGCAGAACACTTTAAATACACAACACAAATGAGGAAATGACAGTTGAGGGGATCAAGTAATAATGAGACACACCTGGGAGCAATTGACACAATCAAACACAAGGGAAAACTAGGTCATGGAGCACATGGGGAGGAAAACAAAACACAGACAGGTCCAAACTCCTGACACTTGGATTCAGGCAATAATATTATGCACTGCAGAGCTATTCAGTTGTAAATCATGTACATTGGTGAAAGTGAAAATGAAGTGTGGGGCTGCGTTCCAGTAAATTTTTTACGCCCTTCACTCGCAAACTTACATTCGAGTAAATGAGACGGAGGGATGTCATTGATTACATTGTATAAGTGCCCATTACTGGCGGAACCCTTGCAATGCACTGAACTGGAACGTCCTAAGCTCTTGATCACTTAGAATCCGCTATAGAGTTGGTTTACTGTTTTCATTTTTCCCTTTACTAATTTGTTTGGTGCAGCATTCTATATTGCGCTGTTATAAATGTATAAAAAAGTTGTTAAAAGTTGTGAGGATAAATTAAACGCAATCTGAGATGACGTCATAATCGTGTTGCATTGTGGTCTATGGAGTGGCCTGAAGTGTGCATATGAAGCAGACTTACTCCCTCAGAGAAAATCGAGGGGTCGACGGTATGTCCATTGAAACTTCCCTCGTCCACTTGACGAAGTGGAACACACTTCAAAATTGCGCTGGGGGTTCCACTGTGGGGAAATGCTTAGGGAAGTTTGCAAGTACGTGCCTAAAAATTAACTGAAACACAGCCTTGGAATTTATGCTCTGCATTTAACCCATCCAAGTGCACACACCCAGAGCAGTGGGCAGCCATATTGCTGTGGCACCCAGGGGCCAGTTGGGGGTTTGGTGCCTTGCTCAAGGGTCTCACCTCAGTCGTGGTACTGAGGGTGAAAGAGAGTGCTAACAAAGCTTGGAGATGCTGGGGATTGAACCCAAGACCTCATACATGCAAAGCATGCGCTCTAAACAAAATCCATGACTGGGGATGTAGCTCAGTGGTAATGACATTAATATACTTGAAAAATGTGTGTAGTGCTTGGTGTACATTTCATCAGTGGAAAACAATTATATATGAAGATCAGATGTTTTATGTGACATAAAAATGGTTCAAGACGCACACG